TGGTTAACTGATCCCTTAATAAATTTAAAGGTAGTCCAGAAAATATCTTAGACAGGCCAAGAGGAAGTGAAGGAGAATTCTCAGTAGCTGATGTACAGCAAAAGCCGAACAGCCAGCTGATGGCAGTAGAGTCCTGGGGAAGGTAGAGCAGGCCAGGAGAAAATCTTCCAGAACCAAAGGGAAAAGAGAAGGGAATGGACACCAGCACGGGTGTACCAGTGAGGTAAACAGATGTTCCCTAAGAGATCAATCAAGATGACGAAGTTTCAAATTCAGCCTGTCCAGTTAGGTTGCTATAAAGTTCAATGAGGGTAAAGTGCAGGAGTATCACCCACTAATCTCCTAAATATCAAATTTGGAAAAGTGCCCAAATCCAGTATGAGGATTATAGCAGCAGTTCTCAACTTTGTGCATCTTGTGTGTCACAACAGTTTTGTCGGAATCCTCCATATAAAAGCAAAACCCCATTTTTTTTTTGTAGTGTATTTTTACATTTACATTTTAAACAATACATTAGCCATCATTGCAAATTTTAAGGACATTAAAATTGTAATAATTTTGCTGAGAAGGTTTCTTGCTAAATTGCCAAAAAAAGTTATTAGCAAGAAGCCTGTGGTTGCATTTCATTGCCAAGCATGTTGTTTCTTGGGGTCTCACCAAGGCGACTTTCATGTTCCATTGATAGTGAAACACTGCATTATTGAACTGGGCAGTGAAAGGTTAGAACTTGTCCCCAGGACTGTGCTATGTTCAAGTCTGCTGACCATTCCCAAGCAGGAATTTGTTGTAAGCAAATGATTGAGGCCTCTGAATTGAGAAATGTAATTGCTTTGCTGCCACAGACGCTAACAACTTAGCAGTCAGAAAACTTTTATTCTGAGACTAGAGTGTTGAATGCTTGAAATTGATGCTGTACAAAAACATTGTTGAAAGAAATTTACATTTGGATTAGTAAATTAGTTATTTTCTGTGGGACCTGAGCTGTAATCTCACCTGGTTACGAAGCTGCAGAAAGGTTAGAGTTAATCGTAATCCTATTGTAATGCCTGTTTGAAATCTACGCTAATCACCTCAGAAAACTTGGTCGTAGTTTCGTAAGAGTTGCTTCCTGCCAGAGTGTAGCCATGCCAGATCCTTTTTGGATGAAGGTGCTTGTTGGCTGTGTGAATCCTAATTAAAAGGTCTCAACCAAATTTAGTGGGAAGTGAGAGTCTGTACTCAATTGTCCATATTTCTGAGCATTTTATGAATGGCAGGTCTCAGAAATGGAAGTTTGTCACAGAGCCGTAGAGATGTACAGTGTGGAAACAGACCCTTCAGTCCAACTCGCCCATTGCCAACCAGATATCCTAAATTAATCGAGTTCCATTTGCCAGCATTTGGTCCATATCCCTCTAAACCCTTCCTGTTCATGTGTCCATCTAGATGCCTTTTAAACGTTGTAATTGCACCAGCATCCACCACTTCCTCGGCAGCTCATTCCATACACACACCAACGTCTGCGAGGAAAAAGCTGTCCGATTTAAATTGTACGCCGCGCGCGCGCACACACAC